AGTTCACTTACATCCAGAGAGCACTGTGGACTCAAATCATGATAGATCTGGACCAAATCTGGTTTGAATTCTCAATATGCTCAAATGTGAACACTGGTGGAGTTTGAGGAAAATAGACCTTGACATTTGGGAGTTGTAGTTGCTAGGATTTATAGTTCATCTACAATCTAAGAGCATTCTGAACCTCACTAACGATAGAATGGGGCCAAACTTGGCACACAGAATCCCATGTCTTATGGGAGAACTAGTGTGGGAGGGGGGGGGGTCATGCAAATTCCGGAACAATGGAGAGAGAAAGAAGGAACTTGTTGACACGAGCCTCCCTCCTGCCTTGCACGCTCTCCCTTTAAGCCGCTCCTCATAGGGCTTGTTCTCCAGACCCTTAATCATTTTAGTCGCCCTCTTGCAAGACCTCAGCTGCCCTTCTAGGCAGCTTTCCAACCTTTGCTTCCTCCCCAAGCTGATTTCATTAGTTGTTTATTCATCCAACACACAATGCTCCTTCCCCATTGTGTGAGTTTTGTTTAATGCTCGAGATATGATGCAAACCAGAGAGCCCCGGGGCACGTCGGATGACGGCACCTCGAATGGCCCATTTCACCACAGGAGTGAACTCCTGGCCTCAGACGGCAGCAGATCTGTGGCATTGTGCGGAAGGGATGTTGTGACAGAGGAGCAGCCCAGAGCGATGGGTGTGTGCGCGCCCCATTCCTGGAACTGAAAGGGATCCATTCAGAAGACGATCCCGTCGGAGAGGGTGTGAAGGGAAGCCTCCCACTGACAATGCATTGGGAAAGCGCAACGAATGAGCGATGCGCTCACCTCAAGCCGTGGGACAATTTCACGGCTGCTTCTGCCTTCGCAGGATTGCGTCAAAGCGGAAAACCAAATCCAAGGTGGGAATCTCAGGATGCTTCGGAGGATCGCCCATTAGCTGACACAAAAGACGTTGAAGGGATGCTTCGAATCGAGTCTTCTTACTAAATGGGTTGCTGTGAGTTTTCCAGGCTGTATGGCCATGTTCTGGAAGCATTCTCTCCTGACGTTTCGCCTGCATCTATGGCAGGCAACATCAGAGGTTGTGAGGTCTGTTGGAAACTAGGAAAATGGGGTTTATATATCTGTAGAAAGTCCAGGCTGGGAGAAAGAACTCCTGTCTGTTGGAGGCAAGTGTGAATGTTTCAATTGGCCACCTTGTTTAGAATTTAATGACCTAGCAGTTTCAAGGTGTGAGTTCTTACCGCATGGGGGAATTCTTTGTTGAGAAGTGATGTATTTATTTATTCTGTCGCGCGCTGGGCCTGTAAATAATTGTCCTTAGAACAGGATGTGCAACCTTTGTCCAGCAGGAAACCAGGGGGCCTAAAGAGAAGTTCTCAGAGGTTTTTCACCACAAATAGTCTTTAGATGGCTTGTGAAGTACAACAAAATCTTTTATTAATGAACAATCAAACAGAAACTTCTCTTGTCTTCAGTAAAGATGAACGAATGATTCCAAGCTTTTAGGCAACTGGTGAATTCCTAATCTTGCCCACGAAGGACAGGTAACTGTCTTCAATAACTTCTTCTTTAAAGGAAATTCCCCTTTTTAACTTCTCCCAGGCTGACTGTCAGAGGTGGCCCTAGGTAATTTCCAATGGTAAGCAAACAGTATTTTGGCGCCCCCCCCCCCCAACCAATCACTGATATATATTTTCTGTTCGTCGTGGGAGTTCTGTGTGCCATATTTGGTTCAATTCCATCATTGGTGGAGTTCAGAATGCTCTTTGATTGTAGGTGAACTATACATCCCAGTAACTATCACCTTGCCGCACTTGCTCCCTTGCCTGGCCCGCTTTGGGTCCGGAGGCGTGCCTGAAGACCCCGGCGTGTGCACCAAAAGTCACCTCTTCTCCTGACTTTCTCCTCAGCCATTGGGACCAGAGAGAGAGAGAGAGAGAGAGGTGGAGATGCCCACCTTTCCTGAAAGTAGGCGCAAAAACAAAGGAGGGAGCGGAGGTGGAAGAGAAAGTCAGGAGAAGAGGTGACTTTTGGTGCGCACGCTGGGGTCTACAGGCACACCTCTGGACCCGAAGCGGGCAAGGCGTGGCAGCTCCGCCCCTTGGCCCACCCGCAGATTGGGGAGAGAAGAGGAGGCGGGTGGAGCACCGGGGGATTGGGAAAGGGAGCCGGTCATGGGGAAGGGATCGAACACGGAGAAAGATTGAGCAGCGGCTCTGCTCGCGCACCCGGTGGCCGGGTGGAGCAGGAACGAGAGGGGATAGGATCACCCGGCAGTGAGGCAAGAAAACCGAGGCTCTCCCTGGACTGCTAGGGCTGTTGTGAGCTGAGGGGGCGCTCCTCAAGTGGCAGTTGAGGGGCATTTACAGAGGGCCTCTGCGCCCCTGGCAAAAAAAGTGTTCTGCGACCGCTTACTTCGCATAATGGACGAGCCGCCCCTGCTGACTGTAATCTAACCCTTACTGATGTGGGCTCCACTACCAGGTCGAACTGCTTCTCAAACACCGAGTGGACCTACCAGTAAAGGCTTAGATGTTCTCCAGCTGGAGTTCTTTGGTCTTTAGGACTGTTTTCCTCAAAATTCTTAGAGGTTGAAGCTTTTGTACAGAGGAAGCTTGCACACGTCCTATACATTAGCTGAGACTAACTAAAAATGGCTCCCTTCCCTTCCCAATTGCCCTGAGCAAGGGGCGGGACCAAAACTTAACGATGATGGACAGGTGACTTGCCCTATGACTGCTACCAAAGGAAGCCACCTATTTGCAGAGTCCCTGAAACCCAGGACTGCAACCAAACATTTACTACAAAGCAAATAAAGTTGGAGCTTCCTGGTACAGCTGTACCAGAACAGTATTATATATTACAATATTGCACTATACCATTATATTGTAATATTATTAGTAATATTACATGTAATGTAAATATATAATTATAATTATAATATTGTATTATTATTACTAGTATTATATTGTATTATGTTATAATATTATAAATATTATAGGTATATACAATATACTATATTATATTATTAGTAATAATATCTGCTCCCCTTGGTTTTCACTCTGGCCAGAGCAGCAGTTGATCTGCTGTCCCTGATTGTTTCTCGTCTGGAGTTCCCCTGTTTTTGAAAGCTGTTCTTTATTTACTGTTATAACAGACCTCACAACCTCTGGGGATGCCTGCCATAGATGCAGGCGAAACGTCAGGAGAGAATGCTTCTGGAACATGGCCATACAGCCTGAAAAACTTACAGCAACTCAGTGATTCCAGTGATGAAAGCCTTCATCACCACACGTTTGGAGTTTCTCATACCCATTTCCTATCTTGGATATAGAGTGGGACAATCCGATTTGTCTTTGGTACTGTTTCATGATATTGACCTCCCTCAAATCAAGAGTAGAGGAAGTGAAGAAGCAAAACCGGACACAACCTATATTTCGGAAGCGACTTGAGAAACTGCAAGTCACTTCTTGTGTGAGAGACTTGGCCGTCTGCAGAGATGTTGCCAAGGGTATGCCCGGATATTTAACATCCTGTGGGAGGCTTCTCTCATGTCCCTGCATGGGAAGCTGGGGCTGACAGACGGGAGCTCAGCCCGTCTCATAGAATCAAAGAGTTGGAAGAGACCTCATGGGCCATCCAGTCCAACCCCCTGCCAAGAATCAGGAATATTGCATTCAAATCACCCCTGACAGATGGCCATCCAGCCTCTGTTTAAAAGCTTCCAAAGAAGGAGCCTCCACCACACTCTGGGGCAGAGAGTTCCACTGCTGAACGGCTCTCACAGTCAGGAAGTTCTTCCTCATGTTCAGATGGAATCTCCTTTCTTGTAGTTTGAAGCCATTGTCCCATTGTGTCCTAGTCTCCAGGGCAGCAGAAACAAGCTTGCTCCCTCCTCCCTGTGGCTTCCTCTCACATATTTATACATGGCTATCATATCTCCTCTCAGCCTTCTCTTCTTCAGGCTAAACATGCCCAGCTCTTTAAGCCGCTCCTCATAGGGCTTGTTCTCCAGACCCTTGATCATTTTAGTCGCCCTCCTCTGCACACATTCCAGCTTGTCAATATCTCTCTTGAATTGTGTTGCCCAGAATTGGACATGGATTTGAACCACATACCTTTAGGTCAGCAGTTCAGCCGGCACAAGGGTTTAACCCATTGCGCCACTGCATCTCCAATAATAACACAACCTAAATAAAAGCATACAGAAGGCAACTGTTTAAGGTGTAATTGAGCTATTGGTTATGTAAACAACAATTTGGAACTTTTAATGTAATTTTAAATGGTTGCTAATGTTCCTAATAACTTATATAATAAAGGTAATAAAGGTTCCTAATAAAGGTAATAAAGGTTTTCCGCTGACATTAAGCCCAGTTGTGTCTGACTCTGGCTTTTGGGGCTCCTCTCTATTTCTAAGCCAAAGAGCCGGCATTGTCTCTAGACACCTCCAAGGTCATGTGGCCAGCATGACTGCATGGAGCGCCATTATCTTCCCGCCGGAGCAGTACCTATTGATCTACTCACATTTTGAACTGCTAGGTTGACAGGAGCTGGGGCTAACAGCAAGAGCTCGCCCCACTCCCCGGATTCGAACCTGCATCCTTTCGGTCAGCAAGTTCAGCAGCTCAGCGGTTTAACCAACTGCACCAGTGGGTTCTCCTAATACCTTAATGATGGTTTAATGGGCATAGTGGGTTAACCTCCAGCTGCAGTAAATCTTGCCAATTGAAAGGTTGGCAGTTCAAAGCCTGGGTCAAGGTGAGCTCCTGGCTTTTAGCGCAGCTTCTGCCTACCTAGCAGTTCAGAAACAGCAATGTGTGTAGATAAATGGCCATACAGCCTGGAAAACTCACAGCAACCCAACAATACAGTTGGTGGACATAAAGTTCGTGACATTTTGGTTGAGGGACCCTTTCCAAATGAACCCAGGTTGTGGGATGGTGGGTGGTTATTCCTTCTAGGGTTGTCCCCCAACATGAACTGCCTCCACCTTGTTCCAGGCGTCAACGTGATGCTCCGGAAGATTGCCGTGGCAGCCGCCTCCAAGCCGGCGGTGGAGATCAAGCAGGACGGAGAGTCCTTCTACATCAAGACCTCCACGACCGTCCGCACCACCGAGATCAACTTCAAGATTGGAGAGGAATTTGAGGAGCAGACAGTGGACGGGAGGCCCTGCAAGGTGAGCGGTTGCTTGGACAGAACATCATCCTCATCTCTGTCTTGTACATAATAATAATTATTATTAATATTAATATTAATATTCTGTCCTTCTCCCTGAAGGGAGCAGATTACAACATATAAACACACAGAGGCAAACATTCAGTTCCTCGTTACAGTGAAATACAATGAAACATAAATAACATAAATAACACAACGTGATGCCAATGGGATTTTGGCCTGCATCAATAGCAGTATAATGTTTAGATCCAGGGAAGTCATGCTACCCGTTTTTTCTGCCTTGGTTAGACCACACCTGGAATATTGTGTCCAATTCTGGACTCCACAATTCAAGAGAGATATTGACAAGCTGGAATGTGTCCAGAGGACGGCGACTAAAATGATCAAGGGTCTGGAGAACAAGCCCTATGAGGAGCGGCTTAAGGAGCTGGGCATGTTTAGCCTGAAGAAGAGAAGGCTGAGAGGAGACATGATAGCCATGTATAAATACCCCACAGCTGCATGGTACATGGTAGACTCCTGAACCACCTCAACTGGGCTCTCCAGGCCAATGGAGACTCCACCTCAGACATCAGAAGAGCTGCAAGACCGAGAACAAGCCACGAGAGTCAAGATGAAGATCCACCCAGAGGAAAAGTGTTCTTGCCATACATCAAGGGAACCACTGACCGCATAGGGAAGCTGATGAGGAAACACAACATACAAACAATCTACAGACCCACCAAGAAAATCCAACAAATGCTACGTTCAGCAAAGGACAAGAGGGATCCTCTCACCTCTGCAGGAGTCTACCGTGTACCATGCAGATGTGGACAAGTCTACGAGGGACCACCAAACGCAGCATTGCCCAAACACGAATCAAGGAACATGAAAGGCACTGCAGACTACTTCAACCAGAGAAATCAGCCATAGCAGAGCACCTGATGAACCAACCTGGACACAGCATATTATTTGAGAACACAGAAATGCTGGACCACTCAACAACCACCATGTCAGACTACACAGAGAAGCCATTGAAATCCACAAGCATGTGGACAATTTCAACAGAAAGGAGGAAACCATGAAAATGAACAAAATCTGGCTACCAGTATTAAAAAAACTCTAAAATTACAACAGCACAACAACAGAGAGGAAACAAACAAGGACATCTAATCATCTCTCAACAAAAGTTTGCTCTAGGCACTGTCAGGCCATTTATGCTAATCAAGGTGGTCAGTTTATTTATTTATTTATTTATTTATTTACTTTATTTACTTTATTTATAGACCGCTGTTCTCAGCCCGAGGGCGACTCACAGCGGTGTACAACACGAAAGCAACAAAATTCAAAGCACGATAAAAACAATTCACAACATTATACAAAAAACAGTAACATCATTTCTACAAAAACCATTCCGCGTCGTCTCATCATCCAAACCACAATCCTATGTCGTATTCCATTATTCCGTTCCTATAGTCATTACCAATCATTGCACTTCTTGTTCGAATGCCTTCTTAAACAACCAGGTTTTAATTTCCTGCGGAAAATTATTAGAGAGGGGGCCAGTCTGATGTCCACGGGAAGGGTGTTCCACAGCCGAGGAGCCACCACCGAGAAGGCCCTATCTCTCGTCCCCGAGGGCCTCCTCTCTTGTGAAGCTGGCGGGATCGAGAGCAGGGCCTCCCCGGAAGATCTCAAAGTCCTGGTGGGTTCATAGGCAGAGATGCGGTCAGATAGGTATCTTGAAACAATCACACCTAGCTCCAGCAGACAAGAGTCCTTTGTCCCACCCTGGTCATTCCACAGATATATAAACCCTTTTTCCTAGTTCCAACAGACCTCACTACCTCTGAGGATGCTGCCATAGATGCAGGTGAAACCTCAGGAGAGAATGCCTCTAGACCATGGCCATATAGCCCAAAAAAACCTACAACAACTCTAGTTCGTCTCTTCCAACTCTTCTATGATTCTAACACAGGCAAAGGCAAAGGCTTCTTCTTGCATTTCTGGCTCTGGGAGAGGTGCTCTTTCCCATTTCCAAGCCAAGGAGCTTGCATTGTCTGTAAATATCTCCTGGTTGTGTGGCTGTCATGATTGCTATCCTTTCCTTTCTGTAGAGCCTAGCCCGCTGGGAGAGCGACAACAAGATGGTGTGCGACCAGCGGCTGCTCAAAGGGGAAGGGCCTAAGACCGGCTGGACCCGAGAAATGACCAACGACGGGGAGCTCATCCTGGTAAGGAGGCCAGGAATGTCCCTTATTTACTTGGGGGAAATGACACCTGCCAAGGATTTGAGTATTGGCACAGCTCTATCAAAGCTCCGGTCCTTCCTGGAGGGTCGTTCCCAGATGGTGAAGCTGGGGAACACCTGCTCGGACCCCTGGCCTTTGACCGGTGCGGTCCCGCAAGGTTCCTTTCTATCCCCCATGCTTTTTAATATCTACATGAAACTGCTGGGAGAGGTCATCCGGAGTTTTGGAGTTCGGTGCCATCTCTACGCAGATGACGCCCAACTCTACTACTCATTTCCACCTAACTCCAAGGAAGCCCCTCGGGTACTGGACGAGTGCCTGACTGCTGTAGCTGTCTGGATGAGGATGAATAAGCTGAGGATCAATCCCGACAAGACAGAGGTCCTCCAGGCCGGATCGAGGTATAGGGTGGCAACCTGTGCTTGACGGGGTTGCACTCCCCCTGAAGTCACAGGTCCGCAGCTTGGGTGTCCTCCTAGATTCAGCGCTGACGCTTGAAGCCCAGGCATTGGCGGTGGCTGGGAGGGCATTCGCACAATTGAAGCTCATGCGCCAGCTGCGACCATACATCGTGAAGTCGGATCTGGCCACGGTGGTCCACGCCTTAGTTACTAGGGCTGGGCGGTTTCGTTTCGTAATTTCGTAATTCGTTAAAAATTCGTTATTTTTTTTTATAACGAAGCGATATTGAACCATTCAGGGGCAACTAAAAAACGAAACGAATTTTTCCAATTCGTTTCGTAATTGTTTAGTAATCGATTCGTTATTGATTCGTTATTGATTCGTAAATGTTTCGTTATTATTTCCGCATGTCTGGTGCAAGTTTTAGGGTTGCTGTTTGTTTTCTCAGTGAAAAAAAATATAATTATCACACCAACAGTCAACAACAGAGGGAGAGGGAAGCTTCAGAAGTTTTTTTAGTGTATTGCGCGATCGTGGACGCCATTAACGAATCAATTCGTAATCGATTCGTAATTGTTTCGTAATTGGTTTTTGATTTCCGATATTTCGTAAATATCGAACTTTTTTAAAGGAAAATTTCGGAATTCTTTTAAATAACAAAACGCAAAAAAACCCTAAAAACGAATCGAGTTTAGAAACAAATTTTTCCGTGTTCGGACAGCCCTATCAGTTACCTCTAGATTGGACTACTGCAATGCGCTCTTCGTGGGGCTGTCCTTGAAGATGGCCCGGAAACTCTAATTGGTCCAACAGGCAGCAGCCAGATTATTAACTGGGGCAAATTACAGGGAGCGGTCAACCCTCCTGTTTAAGGAGCTCCACTGGCTGCCATTTATTTTCCGGGCCCAATTCAGGGTGCAGGTCTTAACCTACAAAGCCCTGAACGGTTTGGGACCCACCTACCTGTGCGACCAAATTTCCATCTACAAACCCACATGATCTCTTCAATCTTCCAGAGAGGCTCTTCTCTTGTTCCCGCCTGCATCTCAAATGTGACTCGCTGGGATGAGAGATAGAGAGCCTTCTCTGTGGTGACCCCCCAGCTCTGGAACTCACTCCCCAGAGATATTAGGCAAGCCCCCATGCTGGCAATCTTCAGGAGGAATCTGAAAACCTGGCTATTCCAATATGCCTTCAGTGATTGAATGTTAGATACTCCCTGACCAAACTTTGCACAAAATGTCCTTAGAAGCACTTTATCTATGGTTCGTGCAATTAAATCCTCCTTCATTCCCGGATCCACATCCTGATAATTTTACATTGTCCTACCTCCCAGTGTTTTAAAATCTTATCCTTGAATGTCCCTGCCCAGTGAAATCTTTTGTTTGTAATTGTTTGTTTTTATACTGTTGTTGTTTCATTTATTATATTGATTTTTTTTTGCATTTTATGTATTTTATTTTCAGGTATTGTTATGTTTTTGTTTTATAATGTATGTACTATATTGATGGGTGTGGCCTCATGTAAGCCGTACCAAGTCCCCCTGGGGGAGATGGAGCGGGGTATAAATAAAGTTTATTATTATTATTATTGTTATTGTTATTATTATTATTGTTATTATTATTATTATTGGGCAACACGAGGTTCCCCCAATCCTAAAATGATAAAAGGTCTGGAGAACAAGCCCTATGAGGAGCGGCTTAAGGAGCTGGGCATGTTTAGCCTGAAGAAGAGAAGGCTGAGAGGGGATATGATAGCCATGTATAAATATGTGAGAGGAAGCCACAGGGAGGAGGGAGCAAGCTTGTTTTCTGCTTCCCTGGAGACTAGGACGCAATGGAACAATGGCTTCAAACTACAAGAGAGGAGATTCCATCTGAACATGAGGAAGAACTTCCTGACTGTGAGAGCCGTTCAGCAGTGGAACTCTCTGCCCCGGAGTGTGGTGGAGGCTCCTTCTTTGGAAGCTTTTAAACAGAGGCTGGATGGCCATCTGTCAGGGGTGATTTGAATGCAATATTCCTGCTTCTTGGCAGGGGGTTGGACTGGATGGCCCAGGAGGTCTCTTCCAACTCTTTGATTCTATGATTCTATGATTCTCCAGCTTCATCTCCTGCCTCTTGCTTTTGCAGACCATGACGGCCGACAACGTTGTCTGCACCAGGATCTACGTTCGGGAGTGAGAGGCCTGTTGGGTGGGGAAAGGAGCCAGCTTTCACACCCACCCATCAACTCAGCCACAGAGGAAGCGCCCCAGAATCACATTGGCCGGCTTTGAGAGCAACTTCCACCCCAACCCATGCCCGTCTCTCTGTCCATGCTCAGAGGCTGTGCATCCAGCAAGACGTAAAGGAGCAGCTCCTCCTTTCCTGGCTGTTCATCACATTCCCTCAGCCTTGAAAGGAGCTGCGGACAGGTGGGAAGAAACCCTCTCTCTCCTCACCATGTTTGCAGCTCCCTCATTTCCCCTTTAACGCTGGCAAACCAAACCCTGAGATGCATCTCTGAGTGTTCACTAGCCAAACACAGAGAGCCCTTGAAGCAGAATTGGAGAGTTGTAGTTGTAGTGGAGGGAAGGGGAGAGCAGGCGTGCAAGCAAGGCTCATCGAGAAGACTCCACATGATGGAATGATTCAAGAACAAGAGAACTCAAGCTTAGATTCTCACTCTAACACAGCGTTGCCTGAACTGCCTTTAAAGCAAACAGCTTGTTTAATAGACACCCATGAAAGCATTACGTCTCCCTTGTATTTTCTCCACAACTTTCGTTCCTGGTTTAAGTCAAACCTTGGTTTTGGATTTAATTCTGGGCACCTGCCTTGCTGTCCATTGAGTTCCCAAATAATGTAACATAAACCAAGAGGTTTGCAACTGCCCATCGTCCAGCTAGGTCTTGACCCAATGCCTCCCCCCAACCTTAGCCCTCAATCCCCTCTTCCCGTAGCATAAGGGACACCCAGAGCAGAGAGAGTGCCACTTGCACCCACCAAAGGTCTTCTCCTCTTTCTCTAGAGCTTCTATCATAGGCTTTGGAAGTATTTATTTGCTCTTTGTGTAACCAAAGACCAGAAAAAAGGAAGCCCCCTCCCCAAAATCCCCATGCTAGTGGTCTCCTTCTTTGGCCTCAGCCATCCTCTTTCCTGTCTTTTCACCGCGTGTCTAATAAATGTCTTTCCAAATCGATTCCTGGAATTTTGTGTCTGGTGCTTGGTCTGTTTCTAGGTCTCGGCCACCTCCTTGGCTTCCCAGCATCAATCTGGGGGTCGGGACCCCGGGGGGGGGGGGGTTGCGAAGGCATTTCGGAGAGGTCACCAAAGAGTATCACAAAACACACATTTCAGACGGTATTCTGTTACAGCTGTACCAGGAGCTCCAATTTTATTTGCTTTGTATTAAATGTTTGATTGCAGTCCTAGATTTCAGGGACTCTGCAGATAGGTGGCTTCCTTTGGTTGCAGTCATAGGGCAAGTCACCTGTCCATCATTGTTAAATTTTGGTCCCACCCCTTGCTCAGGGCAATTGGGAAAGGAAGCGAGCCATTTTTAGTTAGTCTCAGCAAGGAAAGCTAATGTATAGGACGTGTGCAAGCTTCCCCTGTACAAAAGCTTCGACTTTTAAGAATTTCCAGGAAAACAGCCCTAAAGACCAAAGAACTCCAGCTGGAGAACATCTAAGCCTTTACTGGTAGGTCCACTCAGCGTTCGAGAAGCAGTTCGACCCGGTAGCAGTAAGCCCACATCAGTAAGGTTTAGATTACAGTCAGCCTGGGAGAAGTTAAAAAGGGGACTTTCCTTTAGAGTAAAGAAGAAGTTATTGAAGACAGTTGCCTGTCCTTCATGGGCAAGTTTAGGAAGCCACCAGTTGCATAAAAGCCTGGAAGCATTTGTTTATCTTTACTGAAGACAAGAGAAGTTTCTGTTTGATTGTTCATTAATAAAAGACTGTTATACTTCACAAGCCATCTAAAGATCATTTGTGGCGGAAAACCTCTGAGAACTTCTCTTTAGGCCCCCTGGTTTCCTGCTGGGCAAAGGTTGCATGTCCTGTTCTAAAGGAAATTCTTTACAGGCCCAGCGGGCCAGAGCAGATGGTCTTAGGAACCCCTTTGGTAGAAGGCTGAAGATCTCTCCACCTGTCCTTCTCTTCCTTAGGTATAACTAGTAAAACTTGAGCAAGAGTACACGAACAGGAACATAGAAAACTTCTAGATTAAAATCCAAAAACAAGGCTTGACTTGAGCCAAGAACAAGAGAACTCAGGCTAGCTTCTCACTCTAACACAGCGTTGCCTGAACTGACTTTAAAGTAAACAGCTTGTTTAATAGACACCCACGAAAGCATTACGTTTCCTGTGTATTTTCTCCACAACTTTCGTTCCTGGTTCAAGTCAAACCTTGGTTTTGGATTTAATATAACATTTCTCAACCTGGCATTCGGGAACCCGGGGGGGGGTGCGGGTGCAAGGGGATTTCAGAAGGGTCGCCAAAGACCATAAAAAACATATATTTCTGATGGTCTTAGGAACTCCTTTGGCAGAGAAGGCTGAAGAGCGTGCAAGGCTGGAGGGAGGCTCGTGCCAGCAAGTCCCTTTACAGCATGGCAGTTCTGTGTGGGAAGTTTGGCCCAATTCTATCATTGGTCTGGAGAACAAGCCCTATGAGGAGCGGCTTAAGGAGCTGGACATGTTTAGCCTGAAGAAGAGAAGGCTGAGAGGAGATATGATAGCCATGTATAAATATGTGAGAGGAAGCCACAGGGAGGAGGGAGCAAGCTTGTTTTCTGCTTCCCTGGAGACTAGGACGCGGAACAATGGCTTCAAACTACAAGAGAGGAGATTCCATCTGAACATGAGGAAGAACTTCCTGACTGTGAGAGCCGTTCAGCAGTGGAACTCTCTGCCCCAGAGTGTGGTGGAGGCTCCTCCTTTGGAGACTTTTAAACAGAGGCTGGATGGCCATCTGTCAGGGGTGATTTGAATGCAATATTCCTGCTTCTGGCAGGGGGTTGGACTGGATGGCCCATGAGGTCTCTTCCAACTCTAGGATTCTATGATTCTATGGTAGGGTTTGGCATGCTCTTTGATTGTAGGTGAACTCTACATCCCAGCAACTACAACTCCCAAATGTCGATGTCTATTTTCCCCAAACTTCACATTTGGGCATATTGAGTACCCATGCCAATTTTGGTCCAGATCTCTCATTGCTTAAATCCACATTGCTCTCTGGAGGTAGGTAAACTACAACTCCAAAACTCAAGGTCAATGCCCACCAAACCCTTCCAGTATTTTTGTTGTTGTTGTGGGAGCTCTGCATGCCAAGTTTGGTTCCATTCCATTGTTGGGGGATTTCAGGATGCTCTTTGATTGTAGGCGAACTATAAATCCCAGCAACTACAACTCCCAAATGACAAAATCAATCCCCTCCCAACCCCACCAGTATACACATTTGGGCATATTGGGTATTTGTGTCAAGTTTGGTCCAGGTCCGTCATTGTTTGGATCCACAGTGTTCTCTGGATGTAGGTGAACTATAACTCCGAAACTCAAAGTCAATGCCCACCAAAGCCTTCCAGTGTTTTCTGTTGGTCATGGGAGTCCTGTGTTCCAAGTTTGGATCAATTCCATCATTGGCAGAATTCAGAATGCTCTTTGATTGTAGATGAACTATAAATCCCAGCTACATGAACTACAACTCCCAAATGACAAAATCAACCCCCTCTCCCAATCCACCATTGTTGGTGGTATTCCGAATGCTCTTTGATTGTAGGTGAACTATAAATCCCAGGAACTACAACTCCCAAATGACAAACTCAAACCCCCTCCCCCAATCCCACCATTGTTGGTGGAGTTCAGAATGCTCTTTGATTGTAGGTGAACTATAAATCCCAGCAACTACAACTCACAAATGGCAAAATCGATATTTCAATTGATCACCAGGCAGTAAGAAGCCAGACCTTGAAACTGCTAGGCCATTAAATGCTAATCCAGGTGTCCAATTGCAACATTCACATTTTCCTCCAACAGACAAGAGTTCTTTCTCCCACCTGGGACATCATTCCAGACATAAATAAACACTATTTCCCTAGTTTCCAACAGACCTCACAACCTCTGAGGATTTTTTTTTTTGTCATGTCAGGAGCAACTTCAGAAACTGCAAGTCGCTTCTGGTGTGAGAGAATTGGCCGTATGCAAGGACGTTGCCCAGGGGACGCCCGGATGTTTTTGATGTTTTGCCATCCTTGTGGGGAGCTTCTCTCATGTCCCTGCACGGGTAGCTGGAGCTGACAGAGGGAGCTCATCTGTGCTCTCCCCGGATTCGAATCCGTGACCTGTCGGTCTTCAGTCCTGCTGGCACAGGGATTTAACCCACTGCGCCACCGGATGTTTTGCCATCCTTGTGGAGAGTTTCTGTCATGTCCCTGCATGGGTAGCTGGAGCTGGCAGAGGCAGCTCATCCGTGCTCTCCCTGGATTCAAACCTGCGACCTGTCGGTCTTCAGTCCTGCTGGCACAGGGATTTAACCCACTGCGCCACCGGATGTTTTGCCATCCTTGTGGAGAGTTTCTGTCATGTCCCTGCATAGGTAGCTGGAGCTGACAGAGGGAGCTCGTCCGTGCTCTCCCTGGATTCAAACCTGCGACCTATCGGTCTTCAGTCCTGCTGGCACAGGGGTTTAATCCACTGCGCCACTGGATGTTTTGCCATCCTTGTGGAGAGCTTCTGTCATGTCCCTGCACGGGTAGCTGGAGCTGACAGAGGGAGCTCATCCGTGCTCTCCCCAGATTCGAACCTGCGACCTGTCGGTCTTCAGTCCTGTTGACACAGGGGTTTAACCCACTGAGCCACCGGGGGCTCCTCACCTCTGAGGATGCCTGCCATAGATGTGGGCAAAATGTCAGAAGAGAATGCTTCAGGAACATGGCCAGACAGCCTGGAAAACTCACAACAACCCTGTGATTCCAGCCATGAAAGCCTTCAACAACACGTTTTCCAGTAAGGTTTGCCCAATCATTTGAGGCTGAGAGAAGTGGATTTGCCTTTCCCTAATCCTTAGGGGCAAGTGACCATGTGCTCTTGCAATTTGAGGTACAAAGGAAGGGCAAAACTATTTTGGCCTTCCCGCGTTTTGGACTTTAGGAGAGCTGATTTCCGAAAAATGAAGCAGCATTCTGTGGACACAGATACTAAAAGACAAGGGAGTTACGGATGGATGGGAGTTTCTCAAGAGTGAAATACTCAAGGCGCAATTGCAAACTGTGCCAACAAAGAGAAAAAATAGGACAAGTGCAAAGAAGCCAGAATGGATGTCCAAAGAACTTCTGAGCTAAGACACAAAAGAGACATGCACAAGAAGTGGAAAAAGGGAGAAATCACCAAAGAAGAATTCAAACAAATAGCCAACACCTGTAGGGAAAAGGTCCGCAAGGTTAAAGCACAAAACGAGCTCAGGCTTGCCAGGGACATTAAAAACAATAAAAAGGGCTTCTTTTCTTATGTCAGTAGAAAAAGGAAAAACAAGGAGGTGATAGGGCCTCTTCGAATGGGGCTGGTGGATAGCTCATGAGGTCTCTTCCAACTCTTTGATTCTATGATTCTATAATCAAGCGGGGATTTGAACCCTGATTCCCAGGGCCGCCATTCAATGCTCGAACCACAACACTAGGCCTGACCCCCAAAGAGAGACCTAGCACGTTGTTCCGTCAGTCCCATAATAGGATCTTGGAGGCAAAAGGATATTCAGAGAACACAGATGGAGGCCTGGCAGTAGCTTTTGGAAAGCAGCCCCTCCAGGCTAAAAATAAGCCAAAGCTAATGGTGCCTCCAGATGCCCTTCTCCCTTCCCGCCCCATAGAAGATTCTGAGTGGCAGTTTTGGCTCGACTGAGGGGGGCAGAAGGAGCAGACAGTGGTGGGGGGTCCCAATCCACATCTCTTCCCCCAACTTAAGCAACTGAATTAACAACCAGCCAGGTGCTAATTGCCTGCCCAGCTGCTCTCTCCCCCCAACTTGGGCATTTCAGCTTCCCTGCTGAGAGCTGTTCTATTTGGAGCTTGGCGTGGGGAGTGTGGGTCTATATCCTGCCTTCTTAGAAAATGCTGGGCAGCTCCAGGGTGGTGATGGCACAGGGGTGGGCACGCAAACAGGGAGGGACAGAGCACACAGTGGTCTCCCCTCCCCTGGCATG